CTGTCACATCATTTGATGCAGGACCAAAGCCCTCCCTCCTGTATCTAGGCTGAGAATCCCTCTTTAGGGAATGAACTCCAAAAAGCAAGTTCATGCACTAGGGAAAAATACTGGTTCAACTGCTAATGGCTCCACAAACTCACCAAGCCACCCAACTGTCACCCACATTCAGAGGGCCTAATTGGATCTCATGCAGGTTCCCCATCTCTCAGTCTGGAGTCAGTGAGCTCCCACTTGCTCAGGTCAGCTGTTTCTGTGGGTTTCCCCATTATGGTCTTGACCCTTTGGATCATATAATCCTGCCTCCCTCTCTAGTACTAAACTCCAGGAATTCGTCTCAGTGCTTAGCTTTGGATCTCTGCATATGTTTCCATCAGTTACTGGATAAAGGTACTATGACTACAATTAAGGACTTCATCAATCTGATTAGAGGGGGAGGGCAGTTAAGGTACCCTCTCCATTATTGTTTAGATTCTTAGTTGGGATTAACCTTGTGGATTCCTGGGAATTTCCCTAGTGCTGGGTTTCTCATTAAACCCATAATGTTTCCTTCCAGCATAGTATCTCTTTCCTTGTCTCTCCCTCACTGTCCTTCCCCCCAACTCAACTTCCCCAATTGCTCATTTTATCAACTTTGCTAGGGTATTGTATAATTCTGTAATTTCCATACTGCTCTTAAAGATTTTTTTTATAACTAAAAAATTCCATCACTATTTCTCTTTTCTCTTTCAATGAATTTCATCCTTATTATTTTCTTCTTATGTGGGGAATTTGGGAGATACTTTGCATATTCAGGTGTTGAAGGGATTTTGATGTCCATTCTCTCATGACAAGATTTTAAGGATAAAGTTATTATTATTATTATTATTATTATTATTATTATTATTATTATTATTATTTGGTTTTTCAAGACAGGGTTTCTCTGTGTAGCCTATCCTGGCACATGCTCTGGAGAGCAGGCTGGCCTCGAACTCACAGAGATTCACCTGCCTCTGCCTCCCAAGTGCTGAGATTAAAGGCTTGTGCCACCAACACCCAGCAGGATAAAGTTATTATTAAGTGATACTCAGGAATCATGTGATTTGTTCAAGGCTGCAAAGCTTATTGCCATATTTCAATAGATGACTTCTATGGTACAATTCACATGTGGGAAATAATATATTCAAAACTGTATCCATAATTTATTTTTATCTTTTTTTCAAACATATAAATTATTGCCATGTCTTTTCCATTCTAGAGATGGAAAAACTAAAACTTCAGAAATACATTTATTCCAACTTACTTCCAAAGATAGTATTAGAGTTGGATTTTGGACCAGGCTGCTTAATTTCTAAAACAAACTTCTCTGCATTTCTCTCCCGGCTAATAGGAAGATCTTTACAGTTTTGCTTTCTTATAACTTTTTCCCAAATCAACTCAACTGAGTCAACAACTTGCAGATTCTTTCCATTGTCACATGAACAAAATGATATGGAGTATTAGGATCACTGATCTTTGTGTTATTAATATTTTTTGTGCTATTATTTATGAAAATAAGAAATTTTGGTAGCAATATGTATAGGTAACATGTTGATAAAATTACCATTTGAAGACAGCTGACACTTTATAGTAATTCAGAGTTCATATTATTTTATCATTTGTTCATTGCTCAGCATTCCTTCTATAAAATCCACAAATCTAGAAACTCTGTAAAATCCCAACCCCTTACCATCTTCCAAGAGTTAACAGTTCACTGACCTCATCCATTCTGTGATTATTTTCTTAAATACTAATTACTAATATATTAATACTTTATTGATCTTGCATATCATCAATTCCCTATACTAAAATACAAGTTCCAAAAGACCATCAAATTTGTCTATCAGTATTATATACTCATAATTTATTAAACTCAATAAATGTGAATTAAACTAATTCATTTATTAATTCATTTATCTAGATACTATCCTTAGTGTTTGTGTTACATCAGTGACATGTGCAAATTAGTGAAGAGAAAGATCTGAAACTAAATTTTTGCTGATGTATTTGAATCTCTCTGTGACTATTCTTACTGCTGCTGGGTATGCATTTTCTATCACAGGAGAGACCAATCAAAGAAAGATATCACAGATGAGGAAACCATGCCAGAAATCTGGAAAGAGAATGCATTTGTGTAGTAGTTTCATTCTTTCTTTAGTAGCAACTCCTTAGTCTGTTACATTACAGCAGGATGACAGAAGATGTAGTAGCAGGAAACATAACAGCAGAACTGGTGTTCACAGAAGGGTAGGTTTGGTGCTCAGTCATCCTCTTCCCAAATTACTGCCAACACCAGAAGACATGCCATTACACTATAGCAAGGAATTTTCTTTTTGGTCTTCAAGGTTATCTTCTAATGCTTTGTCATGGTATTTAAATCTATTGTTACTAATAAGCTGGAAACATCTGTTTCTTCTGAAAGCTATAACTTGTATCTAACTTGCTAATGTGTAGACATTCCTACATTTCACTAGTCATCATAAATAAAGTGATACCACAATGAAAAATAAAAGACAATTAACAATGCATTCCTTTCTTTTGTTTAAAATTTCCTCAAGCTTTTCAAGTATACTAATATTTTCCACATTCCAAACACTTCTAATGTTTGACTTCTAGTGGTAAATGAATATTCTACAGCTAAAAACCATACAATCATTACTATGACCATCATTTATTCAGCTGAGTTTAAAATCATCTGTTCACATATAAACTGTTTGACATATATAAGAAACAATTTCACCTGATTGTCAATAATATCTATGTCTTTTAAGAATGCTGTTCCATTAGAGTAAGAAAGCATCATGCCTTAGTCATTTCTGTATCCTCAACAATTAAAAAGTTTAAATCATATCTATATGCTGAATATAGGCCTGTCATGAAATATGTAAACTGGATAGTCAATTCAAGGTTATAGTAAAAATCACAATATATCATCCTGAGAACAACTCATAGATAAATATGGTGGGTGCTTAAACCAATAATTACTTTTGAAACCTTTGAAAACAGTCATTTGTGAGTATTTCAATTTGTTACTACTCCTAAGTAGTTGATCACAGAATCTACTATTATTTTCCAGAGTTCTGATTATTCTTAGGGGGCATCAGTTACCTTCTTTCTACTTTCCTGACATCCACATAACACCTTTTATCCATGTTTAACTTTGCCATACTTGCTGATCAGGCCCTTCTTAGTAATCATATTAGCCATGTAGTTATCTTTGACCATATCATTCAGTTTTCTTTCAATGTGGAAGATATGTAATCAACATTAAGGGGGGTACCGTAAGATAATCAAGTTTAATATATAGAACTGAGACTAGAGAGCACTTTGAAAAAGCAGAAATACACAAAAGTAAGCAACTGAGTCAATGGTAATAGCACGGTTGTTCTGTTGTTTTCCTCACACAATCCCAGAGAATGTCCAAAAAGTGTCTGTGAATAAGAACTTATAGACTTTTATTACTTACTCTAAGAAGTAAATTGTTGTTGTATTTATTAATATATTTTTCATTTATTTCTTTGTTTTATTTGTTTGCTTATTTTGATGTTTTGGGTCATTTCTTATTTCTGTCATTTTTACATCTATGCTAACAAGAATCTGTCTCCAAATGGCTTCAAATTATCTGCAAAAATATTACATAGACCTGATAATAAGAAGACAATTCTAATCATGTTACTAACTTTTTGTTGACAAATATAGCATTAATATATAGAGAAATAACTAAAAATATCTATTTATTGTCATGATAATCATATTCTATACAGACTATGTAAACCAAAAAGGCAGTTCTATTGCTTTTCAAACATCTCAACCATCTCAGACAAACTAAATTCTGCATTAGAAAAAAAATGAAACTTTAATGACATCTTAAAATTTAATGACATGTTTAAAAATTCTATTTGATGTTTTTTTAATTTTATTTTGATATCATGTATGTATGTATGTATGTATGTATGTATGTGCACCATGTGTGTTGGTGCCTGCATTGGTTGGAATAGGATGGCAGATACCCCAGAACAAAAGTTATAAATGATTGTGCAAAATCATAAGGATGCTGGGAATTAAATCTGAATCCTTGTAGGGGTTACAAGAACAGCACATACTTTTAAGCATTGAGCCATCTTTCTAGTTCCCTAAATTTTAACAATTTCTTACACAACATCATATATTTTTGTGTTGGTGAAAAACAAGCTTTCAACTTCAAGTTCGAAACTAATTGTCAACTTGTTACATAATATGTGCAGATTCTACTCATTTAATTTAACAGCTGATTTTGCTAAAATGCTACTGTTTTAAGTGCTTTGCATTGAGTTTATTAAGGAATAGTTACTCTTATTAAAATAGCTCTTTTTAAAAAATGTGTGTGGCTGAAAATACATAAAACCTCATTTCTATTTATTAGGATAAAGACACACTTTGGATGCTGCATTTGCAATTTTGCCTATAAAATATTAAATGATGTTATATAAACTTTGTTCTCAATTCTCATTTATTTGGGAGTTCTTTTATTAAGTGAAATTGTATTTTTTTCAAATAAATTTATTAAACACTAATATCTATAGTTGCAAAAACAATCATGCTTCTTGCAGAATTATCACGATTCTTTGACCACTGTTGATCTTAAAGTTCCCTAAGGACAAATTCATGCAGCACTTGCAATTCAGCTCACATAAACACTTCCCAATATCAGTTAAAGAACACAAGATTGGCTTATGGAGAAATGCTTCAAGCTTCAACAAGGGAAAATCCTAATACATTTTGACTATGAATGAAAATGTTTTGGAAAATGTAAAATTCTAAATTTAACAGTAAATTTTGCATGCAATAGGAATCTAGTAAAGGTTTTAAATAAACGTATATTGACCAAATGATCAGTAAATTGCATTACTTAGAGAAATGTTGACAGTAAATTATTGGGTCTGATAGGTGCATGCTACCACATACTATTTTCAAAGTTTAAAAATAAAGAAAAATTCAATTACCCTAAAAGACATTTCAAGATTCTCTCCACCCCAGATATCCATTCCTGCATCGTAAGTTCCTATCTCTTCAAAGTAGTTTCTGTCAATAGAAAATAGGCCACCAGCCATAGTAGGGGTCCTAGTTGAAAAAAAAGAAAAGAATATGTTTTGAAAACAATGTGTGGAGTTCAGTGATATTACAGCAAATAGTTTTGACAACTCAAATATTAAAATATTCCTCAAAAACTCATCCTGAAAACACAATGTCAAGGTGTGAAAGCATTTAAAATTTTTAAATTGCATTTGTATTTCACACTTTTTACAAAACTCCATTAAATTATTTGTCTTAATATAGATTATAAAACAGAAACACAGGAGGAACACTGCTAAGTTAAATCTGAGGCTTTACCTCCCCTGAGTCAAAGAAGGGAGGGGGTGCTGCCTTTTACATGGTCTTTAAACAGATTCCCTGATCTCAAAGACACCAGCTGTGATCTTGACCACAGAGTTACAAATCATTTTATTTTGAACTCTAGGAAACTGAGATTGTGCTTTCTTTATGAAAAAGATTCAGTTCCTATCTCAATACAAAAGTATAAACTGTTATGAAAATGTCTGCAGAGAGCACCTACTGTTGGTTACAAAAGCATTTTACAAAGCAGGTAAAGGAGCTTTTATATCCAATGGTTTATTATTCATTAGATACTTTAAAAGACAAAATTATTTGTCTAAGTCTAAAGATACACCCAAATCTCAGCTATTGCTTAGATTGCTAGTTGGGGTCAACCTTGTAGATCTCTGGACATTTCCCTAGTGCCAGGTTTCTCTTTAAATCTGTAATGGCCCTTCTCTTATGGTATCTCTTTTTTTTTGGGAGAAGAGGTTAGTGGGGAGCAGGGGAAGAAGGGAGGGAGAGGAAAGTGAGATAGACATGTAAAACAAGCTTCTTTCTAATTTAAAAGAAGTGGGGTGGAGATACAACCAAATCTTATCTACTATTCAATGATAGAGAAGGGATTTCACATGGACTCTAAAATTTCTACATACAAATAAATTTTTATTTGGTTCACATGTCTAAAATCCCTCTACATGAATTAAAATATTGAACATGGCCAAGGAAACAGTTGGGTTAACTGTAGATATTAACCTATTCCTCCTCTCTTCCAAATCCAAACCCCCATTCTCATCCCTGCCTCTGAAGCAAATGTGACACCTTCCACATACTCTCCTCCTTCTCAGCACCCATCTGCAGTGGATCACCCAAATCTTCCCCTTGGAATTATCCTACCTACACTCATGACTTTAGTTCCAAATCTAGTAGGCAAAACAGGGAACTGGTTAGGCGATCTGGAGATCTTCACCTCTTTCTCAGCATTTCCATGTCCAATGCTTGAGTCTCATTCCAAGAGACTTGTAGCTGAACACATGCTTTGGATTTTTTTCACACTGCCACCATTCCTAGGAGACTAAGCAGATCCTGAAGGAATATCCCACTTTCTTCCCTTCCCTTGGCCACATGTAGTAGGATCCCAGAAGTATTTCCTAGCAGGCAACACACAACCACCATATGCTTCTAAGAACCAGAGAGGGAAAAACAAACAAGCATGCAAAAACAAACAAACAAACAAACAAACAAACAAACAAAAAACCCAAACAAATAAAACCAAGGAACAAAATACACACCCAAAAAGATAAAACTAGATATCAACACCTAGAATTAGAATCCTCCAGAACCCAGATAGAATCTGGTATTAAAAATACAGCCAGGAAATATTACTCCACTAGAGTCCAGCAGCCCTAGCACAGTAGGCACAGAGAATTGCAACATAGTTAAAGCACAATACAAAGACTTTAAAATAGCCTTTATGAATGAGATAGAGGTCCTTAAAGAGAAAGTGATTAAATCCCTTAAAGAAATGTATGAAATACTTAGGAAAGAATGGGAGGAAATAAATACAAATAGTTCAAACCTTTAAAGTAGAAATCAAATCAATAAATAAAACCCAAAGTGAGGGATTTCTAGAAGTGAAAAAAATTAGAAACTCACACAAGAATCTCAGGGCAAATTTCACTGACAGAATATAAGAGATGGAAGAAAGAATCTTTGGCATTAAGACAAAACAGAAGATATGTATACCTTAGTCAAAAGAAATGTTAAATCTGAAACAATCCTGCCCAAAACATCCAGGAAATCTGAGACAATATGAAAAGACCAATTCTCAGAATAATAGGTATAGAAGATTGAAAAGAAATGCTCATCAAAGGTTAGAAAATATTTTCAAGAATTCAAAATAGAAATCACCCCTACTCTCTAATGTTTCTTCTGGTATAAGAAACATACAGAAACCTGCAAGGACAAAAGATCAGGTAACATATAAAGGAAGACCTATTAGAATTATAATCAACTTCTCAAGAGATGATCCAAAAGCCACAAAAAAAAGAAATCACACGCCAAAAGGAATAGACAGAAAAAAAATCAAATTCATGGCTGAAAACAATATATTAGAAACAAAAAAATCAATAAAAAGAATCAGTGAAACAGAGAGTTGATTCTTTGAGAAAAAGCAACAAGATTACCAAACCCTTATTATTTTAACTAAAGGCAAAAGAGAAGATCCAAATTAATAAAATTAGAGATGAAAATGTGGAAAAAACATCAGGCACCAGGAAATCCATAGAATAATAATGACATAATTTAAACACCTATATTCCATGAAAATGTAAAATCTAAAGTAAGTGTAATTTTCTCAATATGTAACACTTATCATAGTTAAATTAGGATGAGATAAGCAATTTTAATAGATCCCTAAGCCCTAATGAAATAGAAGCATCCACTGAAAGACTCCCAATGAAAAAAATCCCAGGGAAAAATATTTTTAGCAAAGAATTCTACCACACATTCAAACATGTGAATACCATCTCTGTTCAAATTATTCCACAAAATAGAAACATAATGAACATTGAATAATTTCTTTGCAAACCATATAAAGACCTAACAGAGACAAAGAATTATAGACCAATTGTCCCTAGGAACATGGATCCAAAACTTATCAATAAAATGCTAGCAAACTGAATTGAAATATGCATCTAGACGATTATCTCCAATGATAATGATCAAGTAGGCTTCATTCCAGAGTTTCGGGGATGGTTCAACATATGTGAATCAAAAATATAACCTACAATGTAAACAAAGTGAAAGACAAAAATCACATGATTATCCTATTAGATCCAGGAAATGCCTTTGTTGAAATCCACCCCCCTTTCACAATAAATATCCTTGAGAGTTAAGAGATACAATGGACATTCTGAAACATAATAAAGGCAGTTTAGCACAATCTCATAGCCAACATCAACATAAATGGAGACAAGTTCAATGTTATTCCATTAAAATTAGGAAAAAGCCAATGTTGCCTACCCCATTTGTAGCTACATCAATAAGTCAGCTAAAGGAAATCAATGGGATAGAAATTCCAAATGAACATGCCAAAGTATCTCTATTTGCTGATGATGTGAAGGTATATATAAGTAACCCTAAAAATTCCACAGGAAATCTCTACAGTTGATAAATACTGTCAGGAACATAAGTGGTTATAAAATTAAATCACAAAACTCAGTAGCTTTCCTATGAACAATTGACAAATGGACTGAGAAATAAATCAAGGAAAGACCTTTTCCAGTTACCTTAAATAATATAAAGTATCCAGGGGTAACTTTCCACAAAGTGGAAAATATACATGGTAAAATTTTATGACACTCAAGAAAAAAATTAAAGAAGATATTAAAAGATCTCCAATGTTCATGGATCAGTAAAGTTAGCATAACAAAAATTGTTATCCTACCAAAAGCAATATTCAGATTCAATAAAATCCCCCCTCATAATTACAGCATATGAAAGGACAATGGTCAGCTTCATACAGAACAGAAAATATCCCAAGATAGCTAAAGCAATCCTGGATAATAAAAAGAACTGATGGAGATATCAAGAAAATAGATAAACCAATTGAAAATTGGGATGCAGGTTAAACAGAAATCTCAAAGGAGGAAATTCAAATGTGAGAAACATTTAAAGAAATATTCAACATCCTTAGGCATCAGGGAGATACAAATCAAAACTATTTCATGATTTAATCTTGCACCTTTCAAAATGGCTTAGATCAGTAAAATGAGTAACTATTCATGCTGGCAAGGATGTGGAGTAAGGGGGACCCTCACCCATTGCTGATAGGCATGCAAACATGCACAGCACTATGCAAATTAGTGTGGTAGCACACCAGGAAGATGGGAATCAATTTACCCTAAAATCCATGTATAAAATTCTTGACCATATACCTAGAGGAAGCTTCATTCTTCCATTGAAACACTTGTACAACCATAGTCACTGCTGCTCTATGCACAATAATAATCAACGATTTGAAACAACTTAGATGACCCTCAACAGAAGAGTGGCTAAAGACATTATGGTACAGTTACACAAGTGTGTATCATTCAGCAATAAAAAAAATAAATTAAATCATATATTAAAAAGTTAAATGGATTGAACTCGAAAAAATCATCCTGAGTAAGGTAACAAAGACCCAGAAGGACAATCTGGTATGTATTCTGTGTATGGGGATATTAGCTGTAAAGTCAAGGATAAGCAAGGTATAATCTGTAGAAACACAGTGATTAGGAATAGATTAAGGGACTAGGGGAGAAAGATAGTTTTCACTAGAAAATGGAAATAGAATAGTTATTACGAGAAGTGGGAAGGAAGATGAATGTACAGAAGGACGAGGGAGGGAATATGTTAAGAATGCATAATTAAGGGCCATGTGAGGGATAGTATGGTAATTTAGTATAGTAAAAGTTTCCTAAAGTAGATACATGATAGATAGATAGGTACATAGATAGATAGATGTAGAGCTAGATATATGTATACATATTTATAATATATATATATAATCTAAATTAAATTCCAAAATAATGAGGTATACATATCCCCAACTAGTCATTTCATGTCAACAAGTGAAGCTACACATACCAGAATTGGGTGATATCTAAGTAGATCACAAAGGGGAAACATGAGAACTCCCACACAATCCTTGCAGTTGCCAAGACTAAAGGTTGCAAACACCAACCTAACAACAAACCCTTGGATCA